TAGGCTCAGGTGCAGGAAAGCCTTTAGGTATGTGCCTGACTCTAGGTGGCTGTACACGTGACGGTGTGATCTAACCCTCAGAAACAGGTAGATTGTAGTTGGCATCCAGAACTCTGTTCAGCCTGGATGAGACCGAGTTTAACAGTGAAGCAACGCTGGCAACTACAAATCCCAGGGAGCATTGCCATGAGCAGGTTTGTGCAACCGGATTGGCATACTGCAGGGACCAATGGCAGGCAGGGAATGTAACAAAATTCATGTGTGTCAGCTGCCAGTATTAAAAAGCACTGGAGAGAGCTGTAGACCTTGGTGGAAATTCCCTGTTTCCCTGGGCTACTTCTGAACCCCTCTGCGAGCTCTGTACTGGTACTGTGCCTCGGCTTGAAAAGCCCTCTGGACTAGCCCAGATGGATGCGATTCTGAACTGCAGACCGGGTGACTTGGAAGATTACTACAACTTGCTAGGATGCGATGAGCTGTCTACGGTAAGAGCCCTCCCCACCTCCCCGCCGGGTTAGTAACGTGTTGAATGTGCTTCTCCATCTCCAGGGGGATCTGAAGGTGGGTATCTGTGCAGGCAGGACTCTTTGAAATGCACCGTGACCCTTCCTTCTCACCACGTTTATCTTTTAGTATCTCCCTTGGCAAAGCTCAGTTTCCGATCTGTGTACTGGTGTTATGATCCCAGAGTGAGGTGTGTATTAAAAGTGTCGTGTTCCTTCTCACCACGTTTATCTTTTAGTATCTCCATTGGCAAAGCTCAGTTTCCGATCTCTGTACTGGTGTTATGATCCGAGTGAGGTGTGTATTAAAAGTGTCGTGTACAACGGGACTGTGTGATAGATCCGACCGAAATGGTGGTTTATTCATTGGTTTAGTTCAACATGTGATACAGTTGTGAATCATGAGGCAACTGCATCAATTTGACAACATTCAAAAAAATATCTTTGAGCATATTTTCAGTGTTAAAAGATGAAAAAAGCAACTAATACAATCGATGTTCATAGCTGCCAGTCACTGATGATGCTATTGAGTTTCTCATGTTTTATACATTTTTTTTTTTAGTTTTTTAAGAACTGTATTCATTGGTTGGGAGGAAAAACAAAAATAGTGTGTCTTTTTCATTCACCATCTTAATGATTTTAAAATGCTAATTTTAATGACATTCAAATACTAGTTTTACTCATTTCTTTTCGTAGGAGATACCTACTCTAGAATGAGATCTTTTGTTGAACCATTTGTAGCTAAAACAAGTGTTCTTCTTCCTACAGGTGTCCATATAACATTTTTTTGGATACTCTGAGTTCATGGCATGCTAATATTTTTTAATCTAGTTGCTGTGTTAACTGGCATTGTGTTTTGACATTGGAAAAGCAGTTTTGATTTCTCTTTTGTAATGAAGGATGTATTCAGTGTGGATAAAAGCTGTATTTTGCTCAGTAAATTTACTGAGAGGCTTTCCTCTGTCTTAGTGGTGAAATGCTGGGAAAATACCTCTGTCACTTAAGGATACTAGTAAGCATCTTCGATCTGTTACAGAAGGCAATTTAAAGCTTTTCCTGAGAAAAAACTTGGATTATTTTTTTTTCCTAAAAAGTCACCCCAGCAGAGGGCGGTGTTAGTTTCTCTGCGGGCTTGTTTCGCAGATGCTGCTGTTTCCTACCTCAGAGGCGTTCTTTTAAGGGCTTCGCAATTAACGAACAGTTGCAGTATTTATGTAAACGATCTTACAAACTGCTTCAAAGTGAAATGAAGAAGGTGGAATAAACGCTAATGGGTCCTGACAAATAACCTCTCAAGTATTATTTGTTTAGAGAGGCAGCAGATGTTCCTAGATTATTTTGACGTGGGAGTAGGCACCGAGATCCCAAGCTGGCTGAGGACCATGACTGCCTTCCCTCAGGATGATGCACACAACTACTCCGAACACTGAACAGAAATTCGAAGTGTTGCAGGTGTTTTTGCAGTCACGTTACTTTGAATATGCAGTGCAGTATTTGCAGCAGCATGGGCTTCTTCAGACATGGACAGCACGTTCCCGGCTGCAGTGCTTTCATCTCAGGTGCTGAATAGGCTGGTCTTCGTCTGACCTGGTTCAACTTAAGCATAAATAGTCTCGATTTCTACAGATTTTTCCTGTTTTCAAGTAAACATCCATGTTCATTCTTGGCTTCTTGTAGAATTGAGCTCATGGACACTGAGTTCATCTCCAGACTTGAGAGGAAGAGGGGAGATTTAATCTACGTCCTTCTTCCAAGAGCAATATTATTCATAGATAGTGGGTATTGGATACCTTTCTTGATAAAATGAGTATTTTTTTTTATAAATTTCATCTATTTTGTTTAAACTTCTTTATAAACTTTTCCTGCTAGTGATTTTTTTTTGAACTGAAGACTTGCATGTTACCCTTCTGCTACTGTGCATATTTTAACTTTAAAGTTCCCCTTTATACAGCTAAGTTTTAGCGATGGTAGCTAGCTATACGGTAAACAGTTTCAGCAAGTTCTCTGTGCAATGCATATATTTTTAAGTGTCTTCCTGACTGGAAATACACCATCTTATATCTGTCCCTCTGGAAGAAGTTACTGAGAAGAGCAAAGAGTGCAGAATTCTTAAAATACCACTATAGGCCACTAAAGAAAAAAAGTTATGAGTCTCAATTTTGAAATAATTTAAATTGTATATGGATATCAGGGTTTGAAGGATGAGGAATTTATATGAACAGCTTTTCTAGCACGGGAAAGAATAGTAGCTAATTGGTATCTTAGGGCAAATTGTTGTGAAAGCTTAAGCTGTACTACAACGATACAAAGAAGTTTTGGCTTCTGCATTACAATAAGCAGCAAGATACTTGGAAAAATCTGAAAATTTGAGCTGATGCCCACTTCAGTGGCTTCCTGTATTTTGTTAACTGTTAATATGCCTTTGTTTTTCCGGTGGTTGTAATACTTTATGGTACTATTAACTGTGTGGGAACTTGTAATTCACTAATAAACATGCCAATATTCTAATTTTGACTATAAATTTATTCCAGCCAACCTTTTGGCAAAGACAATTAACTTGAGGAGAAGAGTGCGAACTGTTAGTTATCTAGCTTTGTGGGATCCAAGACGGAAAAGTCATGTGGTACTGGCTGAATTTCCTACGAGAAGGATGTGGAGAAAGCCACCCAATCCCACAAACTGATCTTCAGCAATACAGAGGGTCTTTGCTTCCTGCAATGAGCCTTCATTAAAAGTCAGAATTGATTAAGCAAAGCGAGGAGCAGCTGAAGCGCTGCATTTTGCTGACATGGTCACGTATGAGAATGGGGTTTCGCACACATGATCTTTGCACGTTTTTTTTAAAGCCAACTCACAATTTTGGATGACTGAGCATCACAAAAACAAGAACAAGGATGAGTGCACGGAAAATTAAATTAAATAAGCAGAGTCACGGACAGATGGTTGTTGTTACCTATGCTGCTTGTACTAAAGCTTGTAAAAATGAATAGGAAAAACCTTTCAGCGTTGTTTGTTTTTCCTCCCAACCCCTTTCAAAAAGTGAATTTGAAAATCTTTTCTGTGTGTATGTGTTTACTTACTTTAAATCTTGACATTCTGTTTAGGTTGAACAAATTCTTGCAGAATTTAAGATCAAAGCCCTTGAATGTCATCCTGACAAACATCCTGGAAACCCCAGAGCAGGTATGTATTCTTCCCTGTTTAGAAACAATGTTTGTTTTTTTTCTCTTACATTACCATGACTAAGATATTAAATTCAGCCTTAAGACTTGATGAAATATTCTTTTCCCCCCAGTATATTTTCATGGTCATGTGCATAGAACATATTGTCTTTAAATAGCAAGCTTTAATATTCTTTTCTAACACTTGCACACTCCTAGGTGGTAGAGCAGGAAGACACTTGTTTGATATTTTTTTTTCTCTTGGACCTTCAATTTTTTTTTCTTTCTATGGTAGAACATCTTTTAATCCAGAAAATATTTATGGAGTGTATCCCTTTCTAGACCCATGAAGCTGGCCTGCTTCCAATGCTCAGTGGCATCCAAGTGCCATACTTGCGTCACCTGGTTAATTTGCTGCCATGATCAAGCCCATCAGGAACACATTAAATCTACTTTAGCTTATTTTAATGTACTTTAACGACTGGAAATAAAGCCAATGCAGCAGCACACGAGTAGCCATCTGTTTGCAGCGCAGCAGCAAGTTTGTTCTGATCATAATTATGGTCCCCACCAAAAATCTGTTGTAGAATAATTAAATATGCTTCTCATTTTGATTAATGCACAAAATTTTTCCTTTGAATTCTCCCTTTAACTATAAACTGAAGGTGAGCATAAACTGAGCACCACAGCCTACCTACTTGTGTGAGTTTGACTTCATCCACGCCCTCCTCTGACGTACCAGAGCTGGGGGTATAGCAGATGTTAACGAGACTCACGCTCCACTGCCTTGAGCAGAGCTCCCAGCAGGGCTTGGCGTTCCTTACTGGTGTGCTGGCTTAGCCTAATAGCAGAGAGTTGACAAAGCGGGGCTTAAAAGGTGAGAACAGGTGGGATTTTTCACTTTTGAGATTCCCCAACAAAGTCCCTCAAATTTGGTGTTTGAGAGACAATCGACCACCTATTAACAGGAACCCGATCTCTAATATTTAATTTATTCTGAATGACAGCACAAGTACCACTGAAACCAAATGGAATCAATTGTCTCTGCAGAAAAATCTGGCTACTGCAGCAGGGAAACGAGAGACTATTCCATGGTCCTATCTGTCTGCACCACCACCCTCCGCTGCCCCCCAGATTAACTGAAACTAAAGCAAGAAAGGAGGCCAGGCACCAAATGTTGGAGCAGCTTTGTTTGTCAAGAAGAAATACTTCATGCTCCGTTTACCTGAGCATGCTGTGTTTACTTTAAATGCCTTTTTATGGTACTGGTGAAAGTTTACTTTATATTTTTTATTTCATCAGCTTAGAGCTCAATAAAGAGTAATTAAAGTAGACTTTTCATTTGCTGAAAACTAGTGACACTGGAAAGAGGAAACCTAACAGAACTGCCCCCCCACACCTGGTGTCTGTTGTTTGATTTATGGTGAGCAATTTTGATTAGTGTTTGAGCTTAGTGTGTTTCAAAAGAAATCTCTCTAGTTTGTAAACTGGAATAAATGAATAATGATAGTAGATCACTAACATCGGTGACTCATAGATAAAATCTAAATCTTTATAACCCTTCTACAAACATGCAGCTGCATCCTTAGTAAGCGTTTAATGAAAAATCACCCTGTAGGGAAAAACAGGAGCCCTCATTCATGCAGTCTGGTATTCAAGATAACATTTTAGCGTATGTAGAAAACGTACCTAATAAAATGCACAAGTGAGGTAATTTGAACTACACTTAGATTCCTCTTCTTGCTTGGGAATTTTTGCTTGTCTTTTTTTTTTTTTTTATTACCCTGACTCTTTTTTTTCCTTAGTGTTTGCTTTGATCTGACTTCTTTGCTGCTGTGGATGTAAGTGTGTTCCTTCTAAGCAGTGTTACTCTACTTTAATTTCCCTTTTGAAGGTTGTCTACAGGAGGCGCATTGTGCCTTTTGCCTGCTGTGCTCTCTAAGTTTCTCCGAACGTGAATTTAGGAGATTTTGAAGCCAGCAGACAAACAAGCCTTTTAGTCCTCAGTCGTAACGGATGTCAGTAGTCCACCGAGGCTGCTATCATCCTAAAGCCAGCTGAAACTTTGCAAAGCTGTGAGCAGCACAACCACGTTCTTTTGTCACTCAGCCCTCCTTCTGCCCCCGCTGCTCTGTGTGCTCTCGGCCATTGTTGGCAGGTTCCTTTTCACACCCAAATTAATTTCTTTGAAAACAAATAATGGCGTTAGTATCTTTTTGGTTCATGTTCTAGTGGAGAATTTCCAGAGGCTGCAGCAAGCTAAGGAGATTCTGACTAATGAAGAGAGCCGAGCACGTTACGATTACTGGCGACGAAGCAAAATCACCATTCCGTTCCAGCAGTGGGAGGCCCTGAGCAACTCCGTGAAAACGGTTGGTGTTGCCCAAGTTTGGGCCTTCAGGTGGAGGGGGTTAGGGCTGGTCCAGAGAAAGCGTTGCAGCGAGCGACTGGGTGAGTTACACCACTTCTGCTGCAGTGGTAGGTCTTGGGGACAGGAATAATGCACAGTGATTCCTGCACTGAGGAAGTTCAGGAAAAACTGGAAGACTGTAGAAGGCCATTCACAGAAGGGTTTTAGGCTACTAGTTTTAGAGTGAATATATCAATTTTCTGCTTTTATATGTATTAGATGAAGTTTAAGTAACTTAAGGGCTGTTTTCAAACGCTTCAGCACGCTTTGCTTTTGTAGGAACCTTTTATTTATTCTCAAAGCTAGGACCTGTGTCTAATATGTTCTCTTTTTGGTATATTGCTTTCTCAGATGGTTTTCATGCCATCTGATTAAAGAGAGAGCCCATTGAAAAATGTAGAAGGTAGGTTCCTTGGAGCCATGGGCTTCACACAGGTCTTTGGAGGGGCCTTGCTAGGCTACTGGGGGTGTTAATTTGTGACAGAGGCAGGTGTTCTGAGGGTTGCTCTCCCTCCTTATTTTGCTGGTGAGATAACTTGGTAGCATGTTCCTAGTGGATCCTAATTCCGTAATGTTTGATTTCTTTTTCTGCCTTATTAGGGTGAATGATAATTACAAGTCTACAATGGTCAGATTTTAAGGCAGGTGAATAAATGCTCCCCTTGCCGATTCTGCCCACCTCAATTCTGCTTACGAGAGAAATTTCAGAATTCTTCAACTATGGCATTATGCCTGTGCTCAGATGTTTGCTGGAAGTATCCCATCGAGCTTAGTTCAGCTCCAAACAGAAGTCATTCCACAGGCTTTCAGAGTAAAGCTTTCCAAACTGTCTTGTTTTCAACGGGCACCTTTAAGTCAAAGACAGCTTTGACAATGCACATTTTCTAAGTCACTCAAGCCCTCCTAAAAAAGCGTCAGAAGTCATAACAGGAGAAACGGGACAAAAGACCCTTATAATTATTTGACACATTTGTACATTTTGTTCTTCATCCCCGCCTGACATAAACAATCCTCTCAAATGCTGTCTGCAGTATGAAACCATGCTGTCCCCTGCCCTGTTGACCCGCAGGCTTCTCTGCTATGTGCTTTGTTTAACCATTTATTACACCAATAGAAGAAAGAAAAGAGAAGTTCATTAAACATCTTTTAAAGCCTAGGAATTAGTTCTTTATTTGTAATTTTTGCACTTCTTTAGTCAATGCACTGGGCTGTCCAAAGTAAGAAGGACCAAATGCTAGAAGCTCCTGACTTGAACAATAGCAACAACATAGCTAACGAGATTTGGACCCAACATACTGAAAACAATGAAGATGGATTGTCAGATGGGAACAGGGAGCAAGAAGATGTTGCAATTCCTGATGTGGAACCACAGTCTTCAAAGAATCCAGACTCCCCAAGTAAGTGAAACCAGCAGTTACAGAAAATTGCAGTATCCAGGGATTGGCCTGAAGTGGAGGCTTTTAGTCGTGAGAAATTCTTTGCCAGAATAATATGTTTAACTGGTAGCTTTTTAAATGTGGTTTTGGGTTGGGGTTTTGTTTTGGGTTTTATGTTCTTTATTATGTATTTAATTTTGAAGTTTTCAGTCCTTTCTTCCTCCCTACCCTGTGTTTGCTCGCTTGTTTATTAGTAAAACCAAAAACTGGAGGAGAAGAAAAAAACCTTCTAAAACGAAAACGGAAAGTTCAGTTTTGCTGCTACATCAAAATAAAAAAAAAGGCAATTATTTTCAGTGATTTATAAAGAAATAAATTTAAAAAATGTTAAATACAACATTTAGGTATTATATTCCTTTTTTTTTCCCTTATCCAGCATTCAGTACTTACACAGTTTGTATTTGATGAGTCAATGAGGACTAAAAATTGAGACTTGAAGGCTTCTTTTGGATTTGAACAGGTCTTTTCAAAAACAGTGCGTGCACCAGAGTAAGCGCGTATTTCAAAAGCTGTCACCTGGCCAGTTAGTATCTCTGGTCTGTTCTTCAGGGTAGCGTGCCAAAACCAGTGTGCTTACCACAACGGCCACCCTTTGTTCTGCTTGATCCTTCAGGAGTTTCATAATTTTAAGCTCATGTTATCAGACAACTATTATTAAACAAAGTCCTGTCATTTCTTCCCAGCTTGATCAAACAGGAAATTAAGTTGAGCTGTGAGGGTAGCAAAACCTAATTTAATCTCAAAACATTTGTGGAATGCAGAAAATTGATAAGAAAATTCTACAAACAAATGTACGTGAGGCATAGCTGAAAATGTTATATTAAAAAAATCGTGCTCTATAACATTACACTATTTGCTATTTTTTGGTCATTAAACTATCGCTGTGTCCTTTGTAAAACAGCAGAATTCCAAAGTAAAGAAAATATCGTCTTGTTCCTTGAAATGGTGAGCTTTCTTTGCAGGCATCTCCTTTCTCATATTTTTTTTTAAGTTTAAATTTAATTTCCATAGATTTGAATGGGAAAAATATCAAACCCATCAAATGCCTGCTTAATTTATCCAGTGGACATATACTTTAGCAATAAATATATAATATTAGAATATATTTATGTGACAAGGCCTGTGTGCAATTCAGTGTTCATACCTGATGTTAGGATGTTGATAATGCTTTTGTTTTCGTCCAAGAAAATTTATTATGTGGGATTCCGCTTTTAAACCGGGACATTCTCAGTTCCTGTCTGCTGGTTTGTAAGAATGACGGACTACGGCTCCACGCAGCTATGTCAGCCTGAATAAGAGGTTTTATTTAACAGTAGGTCTGGTAACAGATTTCAGCCTCCTGATACTGGAAGAGAACCTTTTAGCATTAACAGCCCATTGATCACAGAAACACAGCACAGGGCCTGAAAAACTCTTTTACTCCCTTGCATGTGGAAAGGGCCGGCCGTACCTTCCCTCCATGCTGCGCCTTTCACGTACTTCGAGGTTTATCATGTCACCCTCTCTCTCTCCTTCGGATTAAGCAAATGCAATTTGCTCAGGATTTCTTTGCAAGTCCTGTTTTCTGGACTGCCATCATTCTTTCTGTTCTCCTCTGGACTCTTCCCAGCTGATACGTACTTTGAAGTTTGGTGGTTGCTTGAGTTCTTGTTCAAACAATGCCAAGAACACAGAGGTTGGCCCTGCTAGTCAAGAGCACTGGAAGTGACCGATGTTTTACATACTTTTTTGGGAGAAGATTATCAAGTATTATTTCAGACAACTGAAGTTTTACACGTGTTTATAATAATTTACTTGCCTTTCTCTATTTTCTCAGGATTTTCAGAGGCAAATTACTGGCACTTGCGTTTCCGCTGGTCAGGGGATGCTCCATCAGAGCTTCTGAGGAAATTCAGAAACTATGAGATCTAAAATGCAAAAACGCAAGAGCGTGGAGATCATCTGTTCAACAATTCAGTATTTTTTTTTGCCAGCAGTTATAAGTTATTCGTATTTTGTATTCATTCATCGTGATGTGAACGTTTTCTTAATAAACGTCCTCGTCCTGGTTTAACACACATGCTCTGAGCGTTACAGATGGAGGTCTTTGTTTAATAAGCAAGCTTTAATACGCAGAGCCCTTTTCAGTATTAACATACAGCGATTTTGGGAAGTTGTCTAACACCTTCTATGTTGTGTCTTGTATCCTTAACTATGGTGTAGTGAGTAGTATTCTTCTCAATACTGTAACATTATAAAGAATGTATTCTCGGTAGGACCACAAGTCAATGTTAGACTCCAGCATACCATCCTACTCAGTGATGATCTTCCAAAAGCTATTTGACAATGAACTTCAAACAAAACTGCTTATGTCTAAACTATGTACTCTCGTTCATCTCTCCACTGCATTGTACTCACTGTAGTGATTTAGTGCATGCATGCACAATACTATTGCAAACTTAACTTGTTGGAGAATTGTGATCTTACAATATAGATGAAGCAAGAACCTTTTTATTATCCAAGAAGGTCATTGTGATAGATCGAGCACTCTTAAAAATCACTTGCTTTCTATCTTAACACTTTTTGAACAGCTATTTATTTTGGAAGGCCGTTCCAGCGCTTCACTCCTCCAGCTAGCAACTTTCTTGAGATTTATTCGTGGACAGATGATACTCCTTGTATGTGTGCCAGCGTTGTCCTGTGGCTTAACAGTAACTTCCCTCCCTGCTCCGGCCTGGCAGACAGGGTCTTATCAGGGTTTGTATAGTGAGGAATGAAGAATCAGGCCAGTCAGCATTAATGCATACAGAATCTCCCATGAAAGTTGTTTTGTATTTTGGCCAACTTTTCAAGTGCTACATTGTGTTTGTTTATTTTGTATTTGCTTTCTTCTTTGTAAACCAGACTAATGTGTCAGTTATTGACATTGTGCTTTTGTGCAGGCAAGTCATTCCATCAGCAACAAATAAAACTGGATGCCTACAGAACGGAGTCGTTTTCATTTTTCAAATTGAAATCCTCTACCCACCACAGAGATCCGTTTTGAATTTCTTTTTACTTGTTCCCTCAGTGGGTAAAAGCTTAAGGGAGTCCAGTTATGAATCCTGTGCATCTAAATGGAAAGCCTAATCTGAAAACTACAGTCTTCTCCCAACATGGAAACAGTATTACGATGTCTCTCTCCCTGGTGTGACATGTTTGGCTCTCCTGTGCAGGGGTACGATGTGCTGACTGACCTACTGCACTTCTCCTCTTTGGTGCCTGTTTGCTCCAGATTGTAACACAAGTGCTACCAAGGGACCCCTGACAATATATATATCTTATTAAGCCCAGTAGTGTATTTATTCTGGTACCAGTTTTCTTTATAGGAGCTGATATGAGTGCTAATGCTGGTTGTGTCTGTACCAGTTTATAAAAGCTCAAAATACTGGTGTTCTGCTGATACAGCTGCATTGATCACAGATTTGATGGCATCAGTAGCAATAGCCATTTTTACAGCACATCATTCTGCTTATCCAAAATCTTTTTTTTTTATTCTACATACTTTCCCCTTGCATATTTTGCAGCTGAAAACATTATAGCGATGAGACTAATAACTGTCTGTAGTATCTACTAAATGTACTTAAAAATTTTCTTCTAGTGCATATACTGCTTTCCTTTATATAGAGGTATTTGCTTAAGAGAGACTTTCAATCCGTTTTATAGGGAGGCACTTTAAAGAACGTCCAACGGTAGTAACAGAAGATACTCCAGTTCATGCGAAGGACACAAATCAATGGAGTACAGTTTTTCTCTCTTTAACAAAAAGATGGAAATGCAACCAGCTGGAGTACTTTGAATCAGATGGCAGCTCAGATTCTCCTCTCTCTGTTTCACATTAAGGTAAAAGGGAGTAGCTGGATGGATGGTTTAGCACCTAACCAGCTGATTTCCCTTGAGAAATGAGTAAACAATAGACCTTTGAACAGCAAACTAATTTTTCATGTCATTAAAACTGATGTCATTATTGGCCAATTATTACATGGTTTTGGCAAAGCACCTTTAGATAATTTGTTCCAGATGATTAATTACAGATATTTGGAAGATTCTCAGCCCAGTGCAAGCTGATGGCAAAACTTGTATTTTGCAACATACCTGCTAGAGATCAGCACTCTAATTTGTATTTGCCCTAGCGAAGGGGGCAGATAATTAACTGGGGCTCTAGTATTCTGGTACAGACGTTTTTCTACTCATGTATATATTTAACTTGAAATGATCGAATGTTCTGTATTTCTCAAACAGAGCTGAATCAACCTATTCCTAGCAGAGCAAAGCCAGAGGTACTGGAAAGCAAGAGGAAGCTGTGCAGCCTGTTTTGCTTTTGGGACAGCATTGGTGGGACCTGACCTGTTGGACAGTAAGAACAGTTAACTGGAATAAGTGGGCAGCCTAGTTCTCCCTCGTGTTAGAAAGACATAAGCATAACAAATTACTCAATGTTAGATCATTCAGGGTGCACCCCCCAAGCACAAACTGCTTATCTTTTTTAAAAATATATAGTATTTTTAGAAGCTTTTTTGCTAGAAGCACGAAAAAATCCAGCAAATGTCCCAGGTGATGTTATCCACAATAATGTGGTGCCTTGGCCTCAGCACTGGTAAGCACACAAAATACTTCACATGCTGAAATGTTAATTGGAGCACAGGTTGTGAGCTGGGTCTCTCAAGCTCTGCAAAGATGCAAATAAGAGGCAATAGAGTGGATTTTCAGTGGCCCGCAGAGAACTTAACTTTCTTTGCAAAGTGGAAACAGCTGTGAGAGGAGAGGTGTAGGGGTGGGGAACAACAGCGGCAACCCCAGATAATATATATTAGAATTATGGTCCCTGAATCCCAGGTTAGGGGAGAGAAGCTAACTGCAAGGGATGGTGAGGTCCTGTTTTCTTCTTCTTCTTCAGGAGTTCCTGTGAGTTGTTTAGGTAGGTAACAAAGGGTCCTGAACCTTCTGGGTATCTGAGGGGGGTCTGATTACCTGTGTGCTTCCACTCTACAGCAATTGAGCATTACCATGCATGAGTGCTTTGTTAGCTATAGCTTGAAATGACTTGACTTAGCTTGGTAGGAAAACAAACCAACCTGTAAAGTGAGCCTAGATCCTCTGGAGTCTCACCAAAAGTATTGATTAAACTTGGCCATTACTGGTCTTGGGAGGGCTGATGAGATTTCAGCTGAAAGTTATGAGATAGCAGATGGAGGTTCAGGTGGATAATGATAACAAAATACTGAGAATAGGACATGTTGTTTAATGCCGTGTTTCTAGGTCTCTAAAACTGTATCAACTAGTTTTGTAATACTAGAAATTAAGCAGCTATTTAGCCATCTGTTTGCAATGAAGCTGAACAGCTCTGGGAGGGTTCTAGAGTTATATAAAATTAATATATCTTTAATTACTGCTGTCATGCCTGTTGTTGTGCAAATGCTGAATACAAAAGATTGAGAATGTTCTACTTCTTCACAAACTTTTTGTTTCGCCAATGTTTCCCAAGTGGCAATGTAAGAAAGTTTTGATGATGAATACAGATAGTATATGACTTAAAATCTCAGGCTGAATAATGCTGAATGATAGGTCAGGTCACTTCCTGAATGCCTTTTTCTCTCTGAGTCAGAGAAGGGAGATGGGGAAAGACAAAGGCAGTTTATATGTTCTATAATGGAAGCAAATATCCAGATGATTAAAACAGATACTGAGTAGCTTTAATTTCCTGAACATGAACATTGCTGTCTTATACGGTCATATCCTGAAATGAGAGACAAGGCTGCTGGGGAGGCAAGCAGTGAAGCTGTTGTGAGGCTGATGAAGTTACGCAGCAGAAGATAAAGCAGCTCAGTAAGCTGTCAGCCTCTGCCACTGTCAGACGGGGTGATATTCATCAGTCAGTTTATGCCAGGTATTTTTATTGCAGCCCAGTGTACATGCTCATCCTGCTGCTGTAAGAGTTGCCAAGCCTCCCTCTGATGGCAGGCACTGTGTATGTTTGCTCTTCCACCTTCACTGCAGCAGTCTTTCCTCCGTCCCATGCTAATGAAGTTGAGCCTCTCCATGTGCTCTGTTTGTCCCAGCTTTAAAAGGCTTGTGTCTTGAGTTGTTGTAGGGGTGCACAATATAGACTGGGAACTTCTACAAGTTCTAGGTCTCTGATGGATATCATAGCCTGTCACAGGTGATGGATGCTGGAGAAAACTGATCTTCTTTCCTTTCTATTCCATCTTCACAGTGTTTTGCTCTTGTTCCCTTCTTTTGGTGGGGCAGTGAGGGACAGGGGCTACTTCCAGAGAAATGAAATTTGCTGCCAATGTTTGCAAGCTTTTCAGTTTTGATGTGCAAAGTGGTTCTCAGTGCTTTGGACAAAATGATTTCCTTGCTGCTTTGTCGAAACTGCTTTTCCAAAAATATCGAAGGACTCTGCACCAAAGGCCAACAGCTCTCAGGCATCAGTCCTTACAGAAACTACATGTACTTTGTCAGAGCTGGTCCTTTACTAGCAGTTAATTTCCATGAGGCCTCTAAATTTATGCTGGGTAGAGGACTGTCAGCTCCTCCTCTTTCTTATAAACAATTCTGTATGAACGATATCAATGGGATGGAAGGGCAGGAGAATAAGCAGAAAGGTCCAGAGGAGTAAGAGACTGCTCCAGCTGGTTGGGCCTGGGTGCCTCTGGTGCTTTCTGCTACTTGCTGTCCTCACTTTCTAAGGGTCTGAGTCTTCTCCAGGATTCCTATGTCCATCCTTTGCCTGCCACTGCCAAAGGATTAGGCTGCTTGTGTCAGTGTGGATAGCTGATGATAAGAAGGAGCCTGGATGTCTTAAGCATCTATCTCTTTGATTGGCTGGCTGGAGGCACCTTGATCCCTGAAGGTACTGTGCAGTGGGCCTGAGCCAGGTTTGGGGAAGCAAATCATACCAAGCGGCTGAGATATGGAGCTGTACCGTGTTGAACTCATATGTACCTTTTTGGGGTCTGGACTCCAGCACCAGGATTATTACTGCCTTGCTCCTTCTCACTCTTACAGCTGATGTTTAAACAGGGAAGCAGATAGAACAGTACCATCTTAACTCTTTGGTACAAAATAAAGATGAAAAGTGACAGGAGTCAAGAGCAGAGCTCTGAACTCGG